GGACGAATGAAGGACAAGAAGAAAAAGGGGAAAACAGGGGCAGCGGGGAAGAAGGAAGAAAGAAGAGAAAGAAAGAAAGAAAGAAAGAAAGAAAAGAAGGAAAAAGAAGAAAAGAGAAAAGGGAATTTTTTTTTTTTCAAAATTACTCCAACGTAAATCGTCCAAATTGGAAATTACTTAAAAAAAATTTAATTTTTTTTTGTAATAATAAAATTTTAAAATTTTTTTTTTAAATTCATTTTTGGGTCGTCAAACATCGCGTGGGCACGCCAAGATTGTAAAACGTCCACTGACCATGAGACTTGAATTTAAACGCTTAACGCGTGCCCTCCTCGCGTGGGCACGCCAAGATTACCTATTCTGGTCATAGTGAGGAAACATCAAAAGTGATTAGTACCCAGGTGAGAAACGACATATTTAAGAAATTGAACACAAAAATAACAAAATCAACAATTGGGTTGCCTCCCAAAAAGCGCCTTTCTTTAATGTGTTTGGCTAGACATGCTATGCTTGTTTACGGAGGATAAAATCTTGTGGCTCGCTTCAATGCTTCATCTTCAATATGATCCTGGTAACCCTCATAGATGGAGTAATCTTTGAACACACGAGCTACGGTCTTCCATGGATTAGTTGATGGCGCCAAATAATCAAGTAGTGATCTCAATTCTTCATCCACTCCTCCATCAAGAGTACTCAACGGTTCAAGATATTTGACCATCGCTACTCTTAACTTATTTCTGCCATGAGACTCAAAAACTTCCGGTATAACAAAATCAATCTCATTAACAGAAATCATGGAGTAAGAGTTAAGAAAATGCGGGTTAGGGAATGGAGGTGGTGTCACCACTTTTGATGATTCTTCACTGGATTCTTTCACTTGAATGGGTTGCGGTTGGGGTTCCATTTCTTCCTTTTCGGCTTCTTTTTTAACTGCATCTGTAGATTTCTCATTTTGACACTCTTGCATCTCCTCATCATTAGTCAAGCAAATTGCACTCTCATTTTCTTCTAGATCAACAATGGTTTTCGAGGGCAATTCTTCCATTTGAGAAGCCAATCGATTTATTCTGGATGTCAATAGACATAGTTGATCTGCCAGATAACTCATTGCATCCTTCATCATCTCATTCCTCATTTGTGTCTCCTGTTGGAATTGGTATGTATTAGTAGCTATTGGTTCAACTATTTCTTCAAGAGACATACCTGACATAGATGACGATTCTTGAGACTCATACTGCTGAAAATTCATTGGCCCCGTTGTATAATTATAATTGGAGTTATCCCACCATTCTTGATCAGACCCGTTTGGATTAGGGTTATACCACGTTTGAGACCAGGGTGAAAAATCTCCATAATTATTGAATGGGACACTCAGATTATCTTGATATTCGGGGCACATACCGGTTGAATGATCCCTAACATAACAAATTTTACAGGTTGCAGCAACCATTCTTTCTCTAATAGAGTTTAGTGCCTCTGCATATGCAAACTTAGCAAAAAAACTAGTCTCATCGCCTTCCCCGGAAACAAAATCCAATATATCACCAAAATATGGAGTGTTAGAAGCCATAAACTATATAAAAATAAATAAGAGAAAAATAAATAAAAAAAAATAAAAACAAGATGAACTAAAAAAGAAACAAATTAATCTGACACCAGTCCCTGGCAACGGCGCCAAAAATTGACAGGTTGTCGAAGCCTGTGCAATAATAAAAACCTGCTCAACTAAAGTTAATTTCTGTAGATAGTGGTAAGTAGGGTCGAATCCACAGGGACTGGGGGTAATTGTTTCTTTCCGAATTCACAGTGACAAGGGGGTGTTTTTATCTCAAGGGTGACAATTTAAACAATTCAACTAAAAATAATAAAAATAAAATAGCCAACTAGAAATTAAATAACAAATTACTAAAATCTAATGAGTGATAATTAAGGATCTAGCCAAGAAATAACTTCAGCAATGGTTCACCTAATTGATCATCGATACAAAGCCAATTCCAATTATTTACCAATAAATAGGTTATAACTGCCAAACAAGCGATGACAGTCAACCCCTCCTTACTGTGTCGGTGATTAAGGTACGCCCGTTAATCACTGCCCTAATTGAGAAATAATCCTAAGTACGTCCATAAGATTTAATTCCCCAATTGCCTTACGTATTAGAGGAGCCATATTTTAACCAAATAACGCACTACCAAGGTTATTTCAGATTAGCCCGCATATTTCCTTGACACGAATCTAATCGTGCCAGTTGTCACTATTTCAGGACAATTAAACAATTACGGATTTAATGCCCTAATTGACAATAGGTTATCAAATCAATTAATTATCCGGATCCAAGACAATCAATTAATTAAATACCCATAAGCATAGCAATCAAGGAATATGCGAATACCAATAAATAAAAGGAAAAGATTAAATCAAATCGATCTCACAATATTTAGGCGAACCAGAGCCTTCGTTGCTCCTTGACTAGAGTAAAGAGATTAGTTCATGTTCAATGTGAGGAACCCACACAAAATTGAAGAGAGAGACGCAGCCATCAATTGGGAAAATGCCCAAAGTTCAATTCGTTTGAAGGAGTACCGAAAACCGAAATTGCAGCAGATGGTTTAATGCGTTAACTTGTCTGCTCATACCAAGGAAGAAAACGAAACTGCTACAAGCTGAAAGGTAGAAAAGCTAACAGGAAAAAGTCAAGTACTAAAGCTAAGCTATCCTGCCATGCGTAAGAAAAGTAAAAAAAAAGCAAAGCTCAAGGAAAAGTCAACAAGAAGCTCCTAAGCTACAGACGAAAGACTAAGCAAAGCCAGCCATCCTTTCCTCTGCTGCCGTTCTCTTTTATTTTTCTCTTCTCTGCGGCGGCTCCCCCAGGGGAAAGAAGACTCTCGAGGTTTGCTTTCTTTTCCCTTTTTCTAGTTGCTGTCTTCGGTCAAAATATCAAAAAGGTCATGCATCTCTTTGTTCCAAGAATGCCCTTGATTGCTTGCTATTTGAACTCTTTCCCGATGACTGTCAAATTGGCCTTAATTATGACATTTTTATTCTACTCCCTGAAATAAATGCAAATTACGAAAAGTGAGTAGAATCTAATAATTAATTCACATTGGGTTAAGTAATAGGAGAAATTAATTATAAAATAAATGATAAAATTGCAACCTATCAACAACAACCATAACTAATAAATTGAAATTTAGTCGCATTCACTTCTAGGAATGGACTAGAATTAGCATGCAATAAGTACAAAATACTTCTTAAAATTTCTCTTAATATTGCTATTACATGAGCATATTCGAGAAATCTATTGTGGAGAATATCATTTTCAATATATCTTATGAGTAAAATTTTCTCGACACAATTTCAACTGAGAAGTAATTCTGAAAATTGCATAATTATGTTCTTGTAGCCACGGGTAAATTTATTATACTAGGCTTTTGAAATAATGACCATCTTCTAGTGGCCAAATATTTTCGTTAAAGAACGACCATCTTCAGGTGGTCGAATCTTTTTCTTTAAATATTTCAAAGGACAAGTGGATTCTCAAACATAATAATTTTCCATAATAGCATCTCCAAAATGCAATGCATCAGAATATAAGTATTTATAACAAATAATTCTAAAGATAAATAAGTAGAATTAAAAGGAGAAATATTACATCAAAGATGTCAAATAGTATATTTTTGTGTGTAGTGGTTGCTCAATAGTAGGCACACTACAACAAAAATGACCTTTAACGACATTTAAAAGTGTCAGTGTATATAATCTAAGTTAACACTTTACCTTTCCTCACACCTCGGACAAGTGTTGTCCCTTCCAATGTGGGGATAGGTTCGTACTATTCAAAGATGTCAGGAAAACTATGCTATTATAGCATCCCATCTTTCAACAAAAATCCATTTTCTTAACAATTGAAAGTGTCAAGATATTGTTGAAGTTGTTGAGCTATGCTGACACTTTTAACTGTCCGGAGTTTTTTTTTTTTTTTTTTAAATAAAGAAGCAACCTAGTTGTGCTCCCTGCTATACATTCTGTTAATCAAATACCCAAAGGACTTGTAAAATTATCCCAAAGAACAGAATGCATGTAGTAATTTAAAAACAAAAGCTAATGCTCAAATATTATTTGTTGAACTAAGAGTTAGCAACAATTACTAACATAACTAATCGAAACTGGGTTGCAGAGACTGGCACATAACTGGGTTACAGAGATGGCACATAACTGGGTTACAGAGATTGGCACATAACAAATACTGTTATAGCATCCATAAACTGGGTTACAAAGATTGGCACATAACTCTGAGGAATGACATGACCAGCCGCTGCAATTGGTGAACAATCAAGTATTGCATCGCCTTGTGGCATGAGCCTAAAGACGAGAGATGTCCTGCAGGGCGAAGTGTACTAATCAGTTGAGAAATTTCTTCAACCTACGACATTCTTGGGCAACTATCAAATTACACTTAAGCACCAATATCTACCTTCCGCCACTAGAAGTTCCTAGAGGGATATCCAATGCAGAGCGATGTGAAGCCGCAGGCCTCAGACCAGCTGTAGCATGGCTGAGAGCCTTGCCTGTGCGAAGTAAAAGGTCCCCAGGAACAGAGCCACTAACAGCCAGGTACCAGCGGCCATTGGGGTCACAAACGTGGAAATCATAGGAAAGAACTGGTGGATAATTAATCAAAGAAAACAAAGTGTTGAAGCATTACAATTCCAAAAATGATCTGGTTGAAATATAGAAAAAATGTATAAGCAGTTAAAAAGGAATCCAGGAAATTAGTACATATTGTTGCAACCTACCTACTGATCATAAAAAAAAAAGTCCAAATATAGGTTACAACACCTGAAGTCCAGGAGCATCTGAGGAAATTAGCGGCAGCAGCCCCTTCTCTACTTCACCATTTCCACTCAGTTTTCCACCTCCTGTAGATCCTTTTCCATTTAGTGAGTGTGTACTGGAAAAGGTTGCAACAAGCACTAATGAAGAAGTCTCGTTAGCAGGCAATGGGCTATCATCAAGCAAGTGGTTGAAAACACTGCAAGCAGTGATACATTCTAAATACAGATCAGAAAACACTAAAGTTGACCACTAAAAGCAAGCATATATACTCCAAAAAACATGACTTCTATTTTAAGTTCAAAATAGAAGTCATCTCTAAGAAATATTTTCAAGTTTTTGGAGCCTCCAGAGTCCAATGACAAGCTGGATGGTCTAAAGAGCAGGGTCAAGTTCAAGATCATGAGCTTGAAAGTAAAAGGTGACATGGATTATGTACCAGAGCTGTTTGATGAGCAAAGGGATCAAGTTGCAGTTGAACAGATTCTGCGGGTTATTTTCCTGGAGCCTGATCATCTTACCCCTGCACTCGAAAAATTGAATCGTCAACTAGCTGAGGCTGAGGCTAAGCTTGAGGTATGCAAAAGGCCTCCTCCAGAGGACAAAGGTCTAAGAGTTCTTGGGGAAGGTCTTGTCTTTGATGAATGGAAGGAAATGAGGGAAAGATATCTTGCAAGACAACTGGTCAAAGGAGTTGATTCAATATAAGCTGCTATACTTTCTTTCCAGTGATGCAGAATAGAAAACTGGAGTGAAAGTGAAATCACAGGCAGCAGAATCTGGAATTTATGAGTTTAACATGCTATTTCAGGGATTCAATGAAGCATAATAGAGAGAACTATTTTGCTTCCCTTTGATATCAGAATAACTATATGATTCAAGGATTATCTTCTGGCTGAGACTTTTGTTCATGCAAAATCAGGTCAGAACGTCACCAAAGGCAACCACGACAAGGAGACAAATTAAAGTTTTGGCATTTTGTCTATATACTCTCTCACATGAAAAGATAACTTTTAACTGCTATCCAAATAGCATGATAAACTAGTGCTAATTGTATTATCAATTCAACATCACAGATGCATCAGAAGCAACAATCCCCATGACTCAAGCCTCTCAAATATCATGTAAGACTTATTATTGATAGACCCCTATATTGCCAAAGCCTACCAGTACTTCTTATAACACTCAACAAACTGAATCAGTTCCCAGTGATTACAAGCATTAAAGTAAATTATACAAGTCTACATACGGGTAGCAAATAAAGCAAGCTATGACTTGTAAAGCCTAATCATTCTACGGCTTTATCAGCAATGATCAACTTAAAACTCTGAAAATTAGCTGAAACTTCAACAAAAATCCTGCACTGAAATAGGATACAAAGCATATAGGGGTGGTGAAGTTGACGTACCTGCTTGAGATTTATGGACTGAAGATAACTATTGAGTACAACAACAGAATACTCAGTTTTTGCAGTCGAAGCAAAATCTTCAAGCCCAAATCCACACCTGTTAATTATCCAGCATAATCTAAAATTAGTACCAAACATTTCTACATTGACAGTCTAAATCAATACGTTCCCAAAAATAATTAAAAAACACTACATATATATTTATATCCCGCCATAGCTTAACTCACAAACCCACTCTTGATACAAGCTCTTGTAACTTTTGATTAATTCATCAATTTCTTTCTCATGTTTTTGCTCAATATTGGCCAGGGCTTCCCTTAGATCCTGCATTATTTAGTAAGGAAAAGGCCCAAAAAGTTAACTTTTTTTTTTTGTAGGAAACCACCAACTAAAATTTACATAGAGAAAAATTGCAGAGTATAACCTGTTCATCGACGACATCGATATCTGCGAGCTTGTGGCCGGATTCCTTACCGAAATTGCCTAATTCTTTTGCTAAGAAATAATTTCTAGAGAATCTGAACTCATCCTCTTCGATGGGGCGACGGGACGGAAGAGATAGGGAGCAGAGGAGAGGAAATTGGCCGAGAGAGAAGGAGGGCAAAAATTGGTATTTCAGATTCAGGCAGACAACCAAGAAAAATCAATTTAGGGCAAAATTTATCATGTAATTACATATCTTCAATGGGAAAACATGGGTAGTTTGATTGCAGAGAGATTCAATAGAAAAAACTCTTCGGGGAAAGCAAAATTTTGGCCAAGAGTTTTGACAGATAGTTTGCCGAGAGAGAGAGAGAGAGTTTGTGAGAGAGATAAGAGAAGCAAAATTTCAGCAGGCAAAATGAGGTTTTGAAATTTCACTAAGGCTACGTTTGGTTCTACAGAATTAGAATTGAATTAGAATTGAAATTCTATAGAATTGGAATTCTATGAATTGGAATTCCAAATCATTTCAATTCTTTGTTTGGGAAATGTATAGAATTGATACGGAATTTATTTGAAATTCCAAATTCTTTGTTTGTATGAGAGAAGAATTCATTAGGAATTAGAATTGTTTTCATGAAACATTTGCTTACATAAAATTTTTCTTTTTTTTTTCTTTTTTATATAATAATTTCTTTTTTTCTTACATTTAGCTAATTTTTACTAAAGATTTAAAAGAAAGAACCAATTTGTGCCTTTAATAATTTATTTTTTCCCACTCTCATAACAATTTCTTTGGTGAACATTTCCAGACTTAGGTTGTGCTAAGCACAGCATTAACGAGACGTGTCATATTGACTGCCTTCTTTTGTTCAAGTATGGTATAGATATTGGCATCCAACCAAAATTGGACCTCACCCCCTTAAAAGTAAATCCCCAATGACACTAGCATATTTCTTAAAACATGGTAGAATACTGGACAGTGAATTAGTCACTAATTAACTCAAATAGTACGTTTGTAAAACAATTTAATTAACATTCTCAACAAATAAATTCAGTTTACTATTCGAATTCTGAATCTAACAGTTGATGGTGGAAAAGGGCGTGGAGAAAGGTGGAAGGACCAAAAAGAAAAAAAAATCCAACATGCCTGAGTTATACTGGACACTATTTTTTTTATTGCGGACTGCAAGCAGTAATTCAAAAAAATAAGGATCCAATGGCTAGTAAAGGAGCCATTGACTGCATGAAAAAGACGAAGCACTGCCAAAGCTTATTTTATCACCCTTTTAATACGTGTTGATACTCATATGCATACTTGCTACTGCTGCTATTTCTGCAGTCCAGCAGTGCACTACACCTCCTCTTCATGTAGGGCAGTGCAGCATTTGGAGGCACGCCACATCCACATATACTCATTCAAAGTTCAAACATCCACCTTGTCAATTGTTTTACAAACGTACTATTTGAGAAAGAATGCAAAGGTTCATGCAGCTAAAGGACAAGTCAGGGCATCAACACAGGCAGCTATGTTAATCTCAATATCTAAAATGCTATTTCATCAGACAAAAGATCCAATGTTCCATTCTTATCATCTCAAAAACAGATAGAAAATAGCTGAAATACTCCCTCGAATCTTTCTATAATCTTGTTTTGATCCATTACATAAAAAACAAAGAACTCATCAGAATTTAAAAAGTCATGGATACACGATGGAGTAGTAACAACTTTTACTTGCTCTACTTGGGCTTCCAGCAATCAGCTCAACTTCTTCTACAAAAACAATTTCAACTGGAGATTACCCAAAAAAAAAATCAATTACCAATGTGCATCAATAGCCAATCCTTTTTTAAGTCATCTCCGAGACCAGAAAAAGTGTCATACTTTGTCCTGTCATTCATATGTAAGTCAATACCCTTCAACAATTGAAATCTATCCAATTCAATTTTAGATAACTCGTCTTCCACCATTTTTGTTGTAACTTTTGAGCATTCTGAATTTAAGTACTTATCCAGTGAATCTGCCATTCGTCCCAACACTTTGTAAAGTACTTGAGAGCTCGTTAGTTTTCTCTTTGTGCCACGATCATTTGTTGAAGATGAAGCTTTAGATTTTGACCGTTGTCGAGCTAGCAGTGCATTCATAACTTCATCTTCTAAAGATCGTGAATCAGTCTCAAATGATTCCTCTACATTAGCAGACTCTTCAACTTCAGTTTCAACATTAGCCTCAAAAACAGTTTGGGCACCCTCTCCATTTGCACGATCTTGTGAAAACAGTGTACAGATATCCTCCCAATTTTCAACCACAATTTTTTTTCTATAAGGAAGAATTTTTGGATTCTCACTTACTCGAACATTCCATACATCCTCATCACGAACATCAATTCTACCTCTAGAGTAGTCCCATATTATCGCAGACCCAGAGTTACATGACTGGAGCAGTGGGTATAGGATGTCATAGTGTTTCTCCCATGTCTTGAAACGAGATAAAATATTAGCCTTTGTCACAGATATATTGAGCTTATCGAATAAAGCATTCATTACTACGGTGTAGGCTGCTGTCTTCCATGCACATTTACCATCCAATTTGTTTCCTTGGTTCATTTGGTCAATAAAACAGGTGCCCATTACACGATCCATTTCAGGAGTCCAAGTGAAATACCCTTTGCCTTTCCCTTTTGACTGAGATGTTGCTTCAGATGCCATATCTGAGGCAGATATGCACCAGAAAAACATCACAATGTCATGTTCTTAAGAACATATTTAATAGCTACTGCATTATAGAACTAAAAATGAAAGGCAAATATGCACCTAGTCATGAAAGGCAATCGATCTCTAAACTTAAAAACGTGTTGGGCTGGACATTGATTTCATATCATTGAAGAGTAAATAAAGGGAAACGTCCATCAAAGGTAAACAGAATTCCTGTATTTTAAGTTCTATGACTATGGCTGGACATTCCAATTCTTTGCTTATGCTGTCTTCAAACAAAACTAGAAAAAAATGATTTGCCTTAAATGTCGAATGAACTTTCACTAAGAGAAGGCATCAAGATTCAGAAGTGATATTTATGCCTCAAAGATACCAATTATTTTGTAGAGAGCATGTTAGTCTCTTTAATGAGTAAGGAGAATTCTACACTTAAAAAAGCCAAAACTCAAACCATATGAGAAGGGAGTTATAAAAGATTTGAGTACAACAACCCCCAAAAACAGCAATAACAAAATACAAAATGAAAAAAATACAGATCAACAGGCAGACCAAAATGAAATGGACAATCGCAGTAAATATAGACACCTTTTAAAAGAGTAAATGAGACTGGTGTTACAGTTGTCTAGGAGATGCAGATTCAGCCATTTTCAACTTGTACGGAATGACCAAAAGGGTATTTTTCACTTCTCACTGATGCAAGAGGGCCAGCCCATACAGTCCGCACTCGGACAGGATGAGGGGTAAATCATACAGTACTAGCAATTAAATCAAAGACGGCTCAAATTAATAAATAAAACTGACGCCTGGAGAGTATTAGGGGCCACATTTCGCTAAGTTTTTACTATTGCTGCCATTACTGTAGTTATAAAACATGAAGAAGGGGCATGCAAATTATAATTGTCATTAGTTTGCGACAAATGATGTGGGGGGTGCAAGGATTCACAAAGTTGGGTTCCCATAGCAGTATTTGGACGTCATAACTTAAAGCAGTATGAAAGTTGGAGATACCTCTGCTGTTGGGGTCCGCTCCAAAATCCAGAAGCAGTAGCACACAATTCTCGTTTCCTTTTGATACAGCTATATGCTGAGTACAAAAAAAGGATGTAGAATGAACAAAAAGACAGAATTGCATTCTAGAAATAATTTTTAAGGAGTCAAATGAGAGTAGTATATATATACACACCAGGGCAGTTCTCCCATCGTTGTCAGATTCATTTGGATCTAGACCAAATGAGTGGCCAGAGAAACGGAAGGCAGGGGGGAGACGGTGGTGGGAAAGGGTTGCAGGTGGAAGCGATGGTGGAGAGCAGAGCACCTGCGGCTGAGGAAAAATGGTGAGTTAGATAGAAAGAGAGGGGTGCCGATACCCTTGACCCGATTTTAATTTTTGATCCATATTAGATCCGCGTTTGGACCCGTTTAATTGTGGAATTGGAATTAGAATTCTTTTGATCTGGTAAAGAATTCAATTCATGGAATTGGAACCTCTTGGAATTAGAATTCAATGCTAATTCTATGGAAAAGGCAGCATCCAAACACAAGAATTAGAATTGGGGTTCCAATTCCAATTCTAAACCCCAATTCTATGGGGTACCAAACATACCCTAAGTGTTTTGGCAAAGCAATCTTCCGCCAAAATCAAACGACGCCATTTTGTGTTCTAATTTTTTTTTGGTGCATCTCACATTTTTTCAAGTGTCATGATAGGTAGTCTAAAGACACATTATTATTCTTATATCAGATAAAATAAAATAAAAAAGAGTATAAATTATTGATTTGATAACAAGTGTAATGATAGAAGTGCTATAATGACACAAACCATCAAGTGTCCTCATATGTATGTCAGGAAAGGCCGTTTTTGTTGTAGTGGCACTTGTATTTTGTGATCATTCAAATGTTAGTTATAAGAAACTGAAACAAGTTTGTGAGTCAGAGATTTACCTCAATAGGTAGTCAAGAGTTGTTCAAGAAAATATCCAACAGTTGATTTGACACTAGCAGAATCTCGGCAGAGTCTCTTATTTCACCTTTGCATAGAAGTAGAGACTCGTGCTGATAACGTGTTGTAAAACTAATAAAATAAACTACTATAATATGAATAGAGATATTAGAGAAAGAAGTAGAGGAATGGAGAGTGATTTTCTTATATTGCAACCAATATCAAAAGTCCTTTCAAAGGGTGTCAATGTACCTTTATATATAGGTACTACAAGATTAAAGAAACATCAATCTTATTAAACACCCACTAATATAAGAATATGAAGAAACTTATGAAATGGTTTCTCCACTACATGAGTAGATTTATGGATTATAACTTCTATACATAATGTAACCATAAATCAAGAATTAATCCTCTTGAGAATACAAACGGACATCCATATTTTTAGTTGTTTCATAACAGGAGTTTAATGTTTCTTTATCTTCTTTCATCTTTCATCTTCTCTAGTCATAAATCTTTTAGGCTGTTTTCCTGGATCGATTTTTTTTTGCTTGGTCGGTATTGCCCCTAATTCCGTCATCTCAAACGGCCAAGAAGCTATGACATATCTAACATTCTTCATCAATTTCCCCATGCGAGCCAATTCCTGTTAGGTGTTTATGTGGGATTAAATATTTCATTACCTTTTTCCAACTGATGTGTTCGTATTTTGATTCCTAATGTTGCTATAATTTTGTCTCTTTAACTCAAACTTAATTAGGATATTTCCGCAATGTGAGGCTTGTGAGCTGTGACATTCAGAAATATAAATGAAAGAATATATATTTGTACACAAACTTGTACTAGTCTAACCGAAGAATTTCCGAACCTACGTAATTATCATCAGTTTTCTCGCTTTGGATGATGATCTATTCGGCAAGTTTCTGTTAATAATTCTAATCTAACAAATTTCAACATTGTGACATATCAGCAACTTTTCTTTAGTGTAAAAACCGTTCCGTATTAGACCGCTTGATATTTACAACTTTTCTTCCATAACCTTTTCCTAAGTCAGGATGTACACCGCAAATACCATCGTTTAAGATTGCCTTTCGATTGATTGAGGTATTTGGCAAAAGATTTAAAATCCTCTCAAATTTCTTTAGCTGTTTACATTATTTAAAAGATATTTAAATTTGTAAACTATCAATTTTTTTAGTATATAAGTATTTTTTTTAATAGATGGTGTATTACAACAAAACCAAATATCTCTTAATTAAGCAATTTAAATAATTAGAGCAATTTAGATGGATTTCAAATTCTTCGTCAAATTTCTTAACCCAAACGAAGGTTCATTTCAATTGACTTCTATAGTAGAAGAACCAAATTTTCTTTTCCTCTCAACATCGCTAGCAACAGGACTTCACGGGACTTTCACACTCACACAAGTGTGAATGCTTGAAATTTTAAGTCTTGAAACAGTCTTCACTTTTTAGGGGTGGGTATATCTAAAATTTAGAAATAAAGTCAGAATGAAATTGAGAGATTGATTTATATTATAACACTATTAAGTGCTTTTTTTTTCTTGGTTTTCCAACTCCGAAATAAAAACCGCATGCGCATTATTTACAACATTATCTCTATCCTTGTATAGAATATTCAAACTATGCCTGCCCATTACGTTAAATCAAATCTTCCAAAGTTAATCACAACCAATTTTATAATCAACAACCAAGAGAAAGGAAAATTAACAACAAATACTCTACATGTGTTTTCTACGTTTAGTTCTATTGTAGAAATGTCATCAAATGTAAATCAATGAATAGTCTTTCGTGGCTCCTAAATTAATTTTTGAAGCATTTATCAATAATTGATTAGGAAAAACTATATAGAGTTACACTCTGAGGATTATATGGAGAAATGTTTAAACTTCAATCAAGATCTCCCACTCATACCCTTTAAAGAGGAATAGCATGCCTGCTCTTGGTTCCCAGATTCTCTTTGGCAATAAGTCTTTTGAGTCAAAGGGTATTCCAGTTCTGAAGTGAATTGACTAATGTGCTTTTAATTTAGAGCAATTTACAATAGAAGCTGGCATAAGTCCACCAATGTTATTTCCGCTAAGATGAAACTTTTCTAAATTTGGCCATTGGTTACCAATATTCGAAGGAAGATTGCCTGTAAGGTGATTGAATCCCAATGAAACCACGCTCATCGTTGAGAGGTTGAAGATCCCAACCGGTATTGAGCCATTTAACTCATTGAATATTAAATAAAGTGCCTCCAGTTTGTGAAGGTTGGACATCTCTTCTGGTATTACACCTATCAAATAATGCACATGGAAGAGCCAAGTGTAAATTCTTAAAGAACCAGGAAATGAGAGATTTAAGATGTTATGGAACATGATTTTGGAAATATCACTGATTAAACGTAAGCTGGTACCTGTTAAGAAGTTGTGCGCAAATTCAATCGATGTAAGCTCGGTCAAATTCCCAATTTCTCTGGGTATAGAGCCTGTGATTTGGTTTCTTTCCATGCCAAATTCCTTGAGGTTCCTAAGATTGCCGATCTCTCGTGGAATGACCCCTGCCAATTTCAAAGATTTATTTGTAATATGAAAGCGTGCCCACAAATAAGTGATAAAAAAAAGACACTGACTGCCGAACTGTAAAAGAAATATTCTACTGACAATTTGTGAAAAATGATAAATTGGAAGTATGTATACACTTAATAGAAGAGCTCAAGTTCAGCACCAATATGTACCTTGTAAATTGTTGGTTCCGAGGTATAAGCCCTCAAGCATCTCTAAGTTTCCAATTTCTTTTGGTATGGATCCACTGAAATTGTTGCCCGAGAGTGACAGTATCTCAAGTTGTGAACATTGAGATAAACTTGATGGGATTTGACCATGTATCAGGTTGAAAGATAGAGCAATCCTTCTGAGATTTGGAAGATGATGGCAAAGATCAACAGGAAGAGTTCCAGATAAGTTGTTACAAGTGAATCCAACTTTTTCCATGGTTGAGATGTTGAAGATGGACAAGGGTCTGGAACCAGTGAGCTGATTGATTTCAAGATTCAGAAAGTTCAAGCTCTGGAGGTTCCCAATCTGTTCAGGAATCTTCCGTCTCAGGGAATTTCCCCTAAAATCCAGATGTTTGAGTTTTGACAGGTTAGAGATTGAAGAAGGAATTAGGCCAGTAAAATCGTTGTTGTACAAAGCCAAGACTTGAAGTTCTGGAAAGTGACCAAACCACATTGGAATGGCCCCAGTGAAGTTGTTGGAGCTTAAACTGATGAACTTGAGGCGGCGTAAGCCTGACAACTCATGGGGCAGATTGCCATGGAAGTAGTTGCTTCCCATGTCAAGAGAAACAAGAAAAGAGAGGTTCCCCACTTCTGGAGGAACGGTGCCTGCAAGTCCCATGCTTGAAATATTCAAAGCCGTCACTCTCTGGTGCCGAGAGCCGCACTCGACTCCTATCCAGTCACGAACAGAAGAGGCTGCAGCAGCATTTGAAGACCAGTTCTTTGACAAGAATTGGAGAGGATCTGAAGTGATGTGGGCTTTGAGGGCCGAAAGAGCAGATCGATCGGTTGTAACGTCTGTTCTTATCATGGCTGTGGAAGTGACAGTAATGAAACAGCATTGCATCAGAACAAGTGCAAGAGGGTAGCAGTAGAAAAGGCTCTCCATACCGACTTTGACGAATTTGGAACGGCTAATAATTTGGGTCTTAACTCCTAAGACCTCTGCCTTAACTACTAAAACTACTAAATTGAGGCTTCTTCAACCTTCCCAACTTTTGCTTCCAAGCTTAGGAATGATGACAGTTTGTGGAAGGATTGCAGGCTGATTTTGAGCAAATGAACACTTGATTGCAGGGCACTTAGCCCCTTACTATGTAAATTTCGGTCATTAGTATGTGGTTTCTTCTTAAATTCTCTCTTACTAATCTCCCGAAAAATAGATTGTCATCATCAAGTCAATGCGAAGTCAATTGATGCCAAGATTGGCCATTTTATTCAAAAGCTGTAGATTGGTTAGCACACAGACGCCAGTTTGGAGTATAAAAAGGATTTCTATCTATCCTTGCATTGGTAACGAATGTTGAATCCCTGGTTCTCTCCCCACTTACGCCATCAACGTTGAATATGGGGACGATTGTAATGGTTTGCTCTAGTTTTTTCATTTTCTTTTGGGGTCAATTCACAAGTCTCCTTCGGATTATGGGAAGATGACTAAAGTCAACAGAGATCCCTAAAGTACCAATTGGTTGTTGGAAATTGGAATAGTGTCATTGACTAAGTGGACCAAATAAAATTGAAGCAACCACTCACTTTTTTAAATCACCACCATATTAAATGGGTGTCAATTTCTATTTTATACTTACTTTTATTCTATTCTAAATATCCTAAGGGAGGGGGTTGGAACAAATGAGCCAACGGGAAAAGTCGAAGATGACTAACCATCACCGAATTAAACGGGTATCTTTGCACCCGATAATGAAATTTCTAATAAATTCTAGAGATGAATGCAAGTGACCTGCACCCAAAGAGAGCTTAAGTCTCTTTGTAGTGGTCAACTACATAAAGGTAATTGGAAGCAGCCATTCACTCGATGAAGGAAAACTCAAGCCCACCAATCAAAAATTTATATTGGACAAATTTATAGGCAATCTGAGGTACTGTAAAGAACGAAAATTTGGTAGTATACTTCCTTTTGTCTTTTATAATATTAATTTCAAAATTCATGAGGTGGAAAACACGATTAGGGGATAGAGAATGAACACAATTCATAGAGCCAGAGACATTTGCTTCATTCACAAATTTCAAGTCTCGAAGAGGAGGTTATTTTTGAACACTGCTCCATTCCCTGCTTCTCTCTACATTCAGAAATTCCAAATTTTAATCATACAATTTGATTTGCAGTAACACAGCGTCTTTCATAGCTCATGTGCTTTGATTTATTTGGCATCAACAAATTGCCTCTTTTCCCTAATTTTTTGGATGATTATACATATTCGATCCGAACTATTCATCAGCCTACATTACTTGCAAGAATTTGAGTTTGATCTTCTTCAGTGTTTCAAGAACAACTTTCATACTGAGTCTGTTAGTTGGAGATTCACGAACACATTTCAAGGCCAATTCCATGATGGATGAAAAACCCTCCAACTTTTCAGTGAAATTTTTATCCTCACGCTTCAACAACTTAGCATCAATGACTCGAAGAATCGAATTAGGCAGAGAATCATTTATCCAACTCTTCAAGTTCAAATTTCCAGCAAACATTTCATCATTAGGCTTTCTTCTTGAAAAAACTTCCATCAGCATGATTCCATAGCTATAAACATCGCATTTTGCTGATATCAACCCCTCAGATCCATACTCTACAAACAACGTTCAAATTGAACAAGTGTCACATAAAAGAAGGAAAAAAGAAACTAAATGCTATGCACAAACTTTAGGATTAAGATTGAAGAATCATTACCTGGAGCAATGTAGCCAATTGTAGCTAAGGTCTTGGTCCATGCAAAGCTTTCCTCCTTTTCCAGCATTTTTGCAATACCAAAGTCGCTGACGTGGGCAACCGTATCTTCATCAAGTAAGACATTGCTGGGCTTCAAATCACAGTGAATCACAGGCGTCGAATATTCTTCGTGCAGATATTGCACTGCACTTGCCACATCTATCATTATATTCAATCTCTGTTGAGTATCTAAGAAATAGTTGTCAGAATACAGCCACTTCTCAAGGCTTCCATTGCACATGTATTCAAGCACCAAGGCCCTAAAATCCTGGTTCCAACAACCGCTGATGACCTTCACAAGATTTCGATGGCGAAGGTTCTTCAGGACTTCGCACTCTACATCAAAGCTCTTGAGTACTCCTTCCAATTCCAAATTGAAAACCTTTACAGCAATAGACCTTCCGTCATTGAGAATCCCCTTGTAAACAGATCCAAAACTCCCAATGCCAAGCAAATTGCTTTCACTGTAGCCATCAGTTGCTCGAAGAAGTTCATAGTACGAAACTCTTTCTTGCGTTGGCACTAATACCATGTTTACTCCTTTGGAATCCCGATATTTCTTCCAATATCTTCTGAAGACAATTGCTAAGGCTGCGACAACCACAGAAGCGAGTCCCAGAGGAGCAAATACAAATAGAAGCACCTTTTTAATTCTTGACCTGTGAATTGAATTAGGTCTTGGGCAAGGCGGCACATGAAACCTGGAATCTCCGCACAATGCTTCATTGAACAGAAAAGATTCAGCAGTAAAGTTCCTAAAGTGACCACCAGAAGGAATTTCACCACTTAAATGGTTATAAGAAACGTCAAGCTCTTTGAGGTCCCGAAGTGCCTCCAATGACTTCGGTATGTAGCCAGAAAGATTGTTGTGCGATAAGTAAAGTCCTTGCAAGCTGAGCATATTGCCAAATGACTCTGGGATAGATCCATGAAATTGGTTTTGGGATAAATTTAAAATCAACAGGTATTGCAAATCACCTGTTGTGCTAGGAATGTCACCGGAGAATTGATTCGCTGATATGTCTATAGATGTTACAGCTTTCAGAGTTCCAACTTCAAGAGGCAAGGAAGCATTAAGGGAGTTTGAGGATAAGTTCAACTGCAAGAGATCTTTGAGGTTCCAAAAACTATTAGGTATGGCAGAGGCTAAAAAGTTGTTTCCTAGATCAAGTTTCCGAAGAGAAGTCATATTACCAAAGCATTCTGGTATAGACCCAGAAAACTGGTTTGTGGTCAGATCTACTGAATTCAAGCTATGCAAACTGCAAAGTTTATCTAAGGTGTCGTTAAGATTATTATCTCCCACGGTCAAACCTTGCAGGTTCTGTAGATTTTTGAATGCTGCTGGGATGCCTCCGGTCAAGTGATTCGATTGTAGATCAAGCAATAGCAAATTGGTCAAGTTGCCAGTTTGACTTGGTATGGTGCCCTTGATTCCACTAGAATATATATACAATATCTGTAGAGAAGCGGAGAGATTCCCAATGGAAGCTGGAAGAAGCCCATTTAACGGATTTGGGCCCAGGTATAAATAAACCAAGTTTTTGCATTTTGTCAATGAAGTGATGAAGCTCAGCTCCATAGATGTAGGATCACTTGTTAAATTGTTGCCATACAGATCTAGAAATTGCAGAAGTCTAAGGTCCCCGAGGGCGTCAGGAATGGAACCAGTGAATCCGTTAGTTGAAAGTTCTAGAAATGTTAATTTGGAACAGTTTGAAATGGACACTGGTATAACTCCACCAAGGTTATTCAGTTGGAGACCCATGGCCCATAACTTGGGCAGTCTGTGTCCTAGATCGCGCGGAAGATTTCCCGATAGAAGATTAAATTCAAGTGCAATATTCCGCAATGCTGAGAGGTTGAAGATGCCAGGGGGAATGGAGCCATTCAAGCCATTAGAAGGTAACTGAAGATTCTCGAGTTGGTAAAGGTTACCCATCTCTGGTGGTATTGTACCTGCGTACCAGATTTCATTTTCAAAGGAAGCATATCTTTCATTAGGCTGTAAAATTCTTTGAAGAAACCAATTACTTCCTCGGTACCATTGACATTTCTAACTACTTTATACTTTAAAATTTCCCTTATATCCTTCATTAATAATGTATAAAGACAAATGTGATGGGACTGCTTCCTACTCTCTATTTTGATCAGCATATGATTAAGGACAAAAGTGGAACAAAAGAAAAAATATTTTGGTAGAGTATACTTATGCATAAAAGGCACATATTCTCAAACATGATTAAATATATGGGATGGAGGAACTATAAATTTAAAAAAAAAAAAGAAAGAATGGATGTAAGCTTTTAGTTAACCGATTTCGATTTACTTCACCAAAAAATGGTACTTTAAAGAAGTATTTACCTGTCAAGGAGTTGTTGGCGAAGTAGAGCTCAGTAAGCATCGTCAAATTCCCGATTTCTTTTGGAATGCTTCCCGCGATTTGATTCCATTCCAGATTGAGCCCCTGCAGGCTTTGCAGATTGCCTATCTCGCGTGGAATCGTACCTGCCAATCACAGAAGTCGGCTAGCAGTGTATGTGTGAAATGTATACACACTACATAGGGTGCTTTACTGTTTTTTAAAGAATTTTGGCAGCTAAAAGCCTAGGTTCCCTTTGAGGCAAAATCGGCCTCGAAAGATTCCTCTACATTATTCTCTAAGCACCGTTTTTTATTTTTTTTTTATTTCTTTTTTTTTTAGCCGTTATCATTTCAATTCTTACATAAATTACATCACAAATACTAAAAAAATGGTCGAGTGAATAATATAAAAGGTTTCTCCACATAATAATCGTTCCAATGCAGCACAGAAAGGGGTTAAAAAAATGATGGTCCATACTTTTACATGGCGGCAAACTAAGGGGAAAAAATGATAACTCACTGGATTTATGTTTATCTAAAGTAAGTAAATGTTGTAACAAACTTTCTAAGTAGACACGTCCAAGGAATATATGGCTCTTCTGGAACTTCTAAGTTTTTTTTTTTTTTTTTTGGTGGATGTTTTCCATAGTATAGCGGTGAGCAAATTAGGTATGTGTCTAATTCGTATTTGATTTCAAATTCAATTTGATATCGGGTATCTGTATTTGGTACAGAAGCGGTATTTACCAAATTCACCTAATTTTAATATGGTATGAAATAGGTAATGAGAATTTCAATTTGATAATAATTGATTTTGAATTCAAATTCGGTAAAATGAAATAGAACCCGTATTACCTCATTTGAATACTAAATTAGCTATATGCTATTAATATATTATATAGGCAAACCCTATATACTATTAATATTTGATATAAGTAAAGGCTATTAGTTGTAATTAAATAGTAGACAGTATCATCATATACCTAAAATAATATATAATTATGTACAATATACTATTACAATATTTGTAATATAACTATAATAGTACACTAACTATGATACTTAATTATCGCTCTATACACAAATAGATAATAAGTACAATTATATAAGTATAGTACTAAATATTAAACATAATTAGTACCATACAAGTGTATGTGTAGCAATGTAAGTGTACACAACTGCACAAGTGAATTAGCAAAGTCATCACTTATCACTAATCATTCGTCATTGTAAATTGTAACTTTGTAACTACACAAGTAAGTTGAATTTTGATTTGAATTAATCACTTTTTCTGTTCCCTAAATCATTGAAGCTTGGATTCAAGATATAATTAGGTATAGGGGAACAAATGAATATTAAATGATTTCTCAAATGATTTGAACAAATGAATACCAATTGTAATTTTTTCCTATTTAATTCGGTTAAATCGTTTTCATTTCCAATCCCGAATTTGAATTCAGAATTTAAATGAATTCAGTTAGGTCCAATTCAAAATTGAAATAGGTGTAAGATTTTATAGGTCAAATAAACAAATTTACCGAATTGAATGCACCAAAATATCGAATTTGTACCGAATGCTGACCCCAAATCGTAAGTAGGAGTATCTGAAGTTTATGGACATTCAAATAGACATGACATGAATTCATTTCACCCAGAACTTAATCCAAATATTTGCTAGTTGCATGATTGTAAATAGAGCATAAGTAGTGGTGAAGCTATTCATAGACCTGATTACCTGTCAAGTTGTTACGCCCCAACACGAGAACCTTCAAACCATGCAGTTTGCCAATCTCTCGGGGAATTACACCTAAAAATTTTACATAAAGACAGAATTAATCATATTCATTTCAAAGATATATTGAAAAATGTCTTACTTCATCGAAATGTAACTAACAAGTGGAAATTTGTGTTGGCGATTCAAGCTTTTGGAGTAAAGAAGAAACTTTGGTAGAGGGACGAAGAGGACATGGAAGGGACGCGCAAAAGGGGCTGGATGTAGAGACGGCAGGCTACCCACAGAAATTAGATTTTAAACAATAAATTTACCCGTGTCTTAGCACGGTCTTTTTTATTTATTGTGAATTTATAAAAATATGAATAATTTAAATACAAAAATTAACAATAATTCTAAATTTTCATTCATATTAACTTTAAAAACTTAATGTATTCTAAATGTTCACTTATTTACTAATTTTTAAAAATTTATTTATATACTTTCACTATAATATGATAATATACATCAAATAATGTATTCTATGTCAAAAACTTAAGGGATATTCTTTTTTTATAAATATTCTTTTAGATAATTTAAATTTTTATAATGACCTTGAACCTAGTAGTATATATTTACATTTAATTATATCAACTTTTCAGATAATTTATATCACACTAGAAGTATATATTCATATAATAACCATGAACCTAGAAAAGATCCAGCAATCAACTTTTTTTCATCAATATATCAACAATATTGGTAAATCTGTCGGTGTAATAGTTAATTTTTTTTTGCACTAAGTTAATTCACATTCACAATTAAGGGAAGAGATGATGAACAATTTGAATAATAATCAACAATATGGTGGTAAAAGGAAGTAATTTATGAAATATGTAAGATTTTAATAATTGTGATTTGAAAATGTTTTACTATAGTTCTATGTAATAATTTGATAGAAAACATATATCATTAACATAAAATTAGTTATTTTTTAAAGTTATTTTAGATATCATTAAGATAAGATTAGTCATTTTTTAAAGTTATTTTAAAATTAGGGATAATTTTTAAACATATAATATAATATTCAATATGGATAAAACCCAAATGACTCATAACCCATTAATTCTCTTCAATTAGACATGCCACATAGGAGTGAGAAACAACTCTAATTAAAATAACTACTTTCATATATACATATATATATATATATATATATATATATATATGTAGTTTGCCTATGTAGCTTTTCAAGCTTTGACATGCCCCCATTCAACTACCAAATTCCATTCTATGGTGTTGTAAGATGAAGTCTCTCCAAGAGGCTATAACATATCTAACATTCTTCGTCAATTACTCTAATTTCCCCATGCGAGCCAATTCATGTTAGCTGGGATTAAATTTTTCTTTACCTTTTTCCAACTGATGCGTTCATATTTTGCTTCCTATTTGACATAATTTTGTCTCTTTAACTCAAATTAATAATAACCTGCAAATGGTTCATGATATTGCAGTCGCTGATCATGTCACCTCTGGAAGTTTGGTAATTATGCTTTTAATTTTCTGGAATAAAGAAGCAGAGGTGTTACAATAGTAAATTGTTTTTTTTTTAAAAAAAAAAAAAAACCAGCCATCCAAGCCAAGCTGGTAAAACAGTAAATAGTGTTGAATCCCAGTGCCAAACAGGGAAAAATGACCATTAATTGCGGTTTGGTATGCAAAAAGGCAAAGCAAAAGCATTACCTGTGAAGTTGTTAGTCATGAGGGATAAATACGTAAGCTTCTCCAGATTTCCAATTTCTTTAGGTATGTGCCCGCTAAACCTGTTGGATGACAAGTCTAGCGATTGAAGTTGAGAAATCTTGCATAAACTCAGTGGTATTTGACCAGCTAAATAATTCCGATAAAAAGTCAGCAATTTGAGGGCTGAAAGATTTCCTATCTTTTCTGGAATATTTCCTTCCAGGAAATTGTCGCTTAGATCTAACTTTTCCACTCTTGACAAGTTGGATATAGAAGAAGGAATAAAACCACTAAAACCATTGCCGTCCAGAAACAAGAACTGGAGTTCTGGGAAGTGACCAAACCACATTGGAATCTCTCCAGTGAAGTTGTTAGTGGTTAACCTGACGAACCTCAGGCGGCGCAGGTGTGACAACTCTTCGGGCAGATTTCCGTGGAAGGAGTTATTTCTCAGATCAAGAGAAACAAGAAAGGAGAGGTTTCCCAAATCCGGAGGTATTGTGCCGGTGAGTCCCATGTTTGAAATATTTAAAGCAGTCACTCTTTGGTGTCGAGAGCTGCACTGGACTCCTATCCAGTCACAGACAGAGGATGCAGCAGCTGCAGAAGACCAGTTTTTTGGCAAGAATTCTTGCTGTCCTGAAGTGATATGGGCTTTCAGGGCTAAAAGAGCAGATTGATCAGTGCCTAAACTTAATCTTTTCATGGCTGTGCAGCCGGTCATCATTAGATGGTGCAGCAAAACAAGTACTGCAAGAGGGAACAAGTAAAAGTAGTGTTTCTTCATATCGACCGACCTATATGATCAATCAATAGTCCTAATCGGCGATATATAGTCCATTCTGTCCATTCTGTTGCAACCTCTATATATAGTCATTGTTTTGGAATTATGTGACCGCGTGTAATACATTTTAGCATTTACCTCTCTCAGTTATCCAAACTTTGCCTTAAAAAACCTTTTCCGCTGAATTTTGATCAATTTTTCACTTTTTCCGTCTCTCTCTCTTTTTTTCTTTTTAAAAATAAATTTCCCTTCCCCCAAGTTGACTTCTCTAGTTGGGGTGACTTTGGGAATGATTACGACTCTAGTCTAGGGCAAACACTTGGGTAGATCGAGTGTATATAGGTTTGGTGGTTCAAAATTTATCACATCATTTTACCAACTCAAGTATTTGAAGATGTGGCAAAATTTGGACCGATAGATCTACAAGATCGGTATATATATATGTATGTATGTGTGTATATATTTGTACACAATAGGGTACTACTAGTCTAACTCAAAGAAATTCTGAACGTACTAATCATCTATTTTCTAGCTAGCCTTGGATGTGGATATATTCTGCAGGTTGCTGTTAATAATTCTTAGCTGATAAATTCCAACATGTGACATGTCAACTACCGTGTAAAGGACGTTGGAAATTTTGTTAACCATTCGATATTGGACCATAACATTTAGTAGTAGGCTTCTGTAATAATCGAAGAACCAGACTTTTCTCTCCTCTCAACATCGCCAACAACGGGACTTCATGCATGGGACGGGACTTTCCAGTTAGACAATAATAATGTCAAGTGGAGCTTAATTCGCTGCTTCAGTGAAGTAGTTGATCGTGGCACATACTCATAAATAGAGGTGTGTGACTTGGACTGGTTTGGATTGGGTAGAACTTATCATAAATTGGCAATTCTGAAAAATGAGTAAGTAATAGTTGAATAATAAGAATATAAAAATTTGAACTAAGTACTATAAAAGTTAATATAAAAATTTTATCCAAAAATTTTGAACCCCTAATATTTTTTTCATGTGTAAATTTAAATTTTCATTTTGAAAAGGTAGGAAAAAAGGGTAAAACTTATCATAAATTGGTAATACTGAAAAATGAGCAAGTTAACAAACCAAGAGAAAATAAAATGATAAGATAAAACCAACAAATAATAATAATAATAATAACAAAAGTAGTTAACAAAATGAAAATTTTGGAAAAAAAAAGGGTGGGGAAAGAGAAGAGATTTGGGGAAAAATAATTCTAAATGGGTCAATTGGGTTTGATGGATTACCTAATAATACCCACTTAATAAATGGGTATTATTGGGTAACCCATTTATATCCATATGCAAAAATTTAAGATATCCATACCCATCTATTCATGGACGGATATAAGTAAATTTAGTTAAATGTGTTGGTTTGACACCTATATTCATAAGCAACGCTTTTGAAGGGGTATCCATTCTTGCCTGCAGTGGTGGAGCCAAAGATTTTCATGGTCAGCGGGACAATTTTTGTTACATCCTAATAATATATATGTTGGATTTTTTTTTAAACCAGTGTCCCGTAAACACTCTTTAATACACCTACATTCCACTCAACCTATCGTATATACACACACACTAACACTAATAATTACTACTTTCCCTTGCATTCACACACTTTTTCTAATTAATTCCCTTGCATTTATATGATCTCTCTAATTAATTTTATATTTCTAAAAATCTAACACCTGAAATATATCTTAACGGGGTATCCATTAGACAGATCGTAATATGTTTATATCCTTGTCATACTCACTTTCACACAAGTGTGAACGCTTGAGATTTTAAGTTTTGCAACAATATTCTCTTTTTAGGGGTGGGTATATATGTCTAAATTTTAGAAATAAAAGTCATAATTAAATTGAGAGGTTGATTTATATTATAACACACACTTGAGATTTTAAGTTTTGCAACAATATTCACTTTTTAGGGGTGGGTGTATGTGTCTAAAATTTAGAAATAAAAGTCAGAATTAAATTGAGAGATTGATTTATATTATAGCACTATTAATTTTTTTTTTGTGCGTTTCCAACTCCACGGTTGGCCATATGCCTCCAAAATTTTATGTACTATTTTACATAAAAATTGTTACTTGGAGTAGGAAAAATATACGTAAACAAACCCAAATACATGCACATTGGAAATAAAAAGAGCATGCGCATTATTTACAACATTATCTCTATCCGTATATAGAATATATTCAAACTAAGCCTGCCGACCACGTTAAATCAAATCTTCCAAAATTAATCCCGAACCAATTTTATAATTGATAACCAAGAGAAAACAAAAATAACAACAAATACTACATGTGTTTAGTTCTATTGTGGATTACAAATGCTAATACGTACTATAACGCAACCAATATGATTGATTAATAGTGATTCCAAAGTATTATATATTGATTAGTAATGATTCCAAATATGATTTATTATGCTGTGAGTAAATTCTTTGATTGAGTAGTAAGTGAAGACAGTGCTGGATATGCTCCCTCAAAGGCTCAAACAATAAGCGCTCGGAATTGTCCTCAGGAAATCACAACTGATAGATAGATATGGGCTGAAATAGGAATCCAAATAATAACAGGATTGTTATCTATAAATAGGGTTATGGTCCCCAAGTCATAGATATTCTATTTGTCGTATTTTCTAGTATCACAAAATAGCTCTTCCCTGATATTCCATTGTCAAGAAAGATACTAGAGAAAAACTAAAGGGCTCTCTCAAGTATTGGCAAATACGTGTTGACCTGGAAGACCACTCTAATATCTTTAAAGATTCAAATATCAGTTTGTCGATATGAATCCAGATACGCTTCCGCAATTTTACTGTTAATTTATTTCTTAATAATCGCCTGCTAAACTAACCTTTACTCACCTAATTCATTGAGTGTTTACAATCTAGCACGTACGCGTGGACCAGTTTTCAACAACCTACTATGATTTCATTGATAGCTAGCTTTTAATCTGCATGTTTTCCGTTACTTTTTTTTTTTTTTTTTTTATGCTATATGGCATCTTGTAAAATTTAAAGAAAAACTAAGGAATGAGTTTCAAAGTTAACTAGTCTCCGAGCAAAGTCAAGGGACTGGAGACCCTACATTTTGTGGACAGTAGTCACTGGTCATGCTGCTCCAGGAGCTTCTGTGTATGCCGTATCAGTTGACTTAGTGGACCAAATTAAATTAACTTCAAAAATTGCTAGTTTACTCTTTGCTGTATTTCATATTAACTTCGATAATCATGAGGTGGAAAATACGATTAGGGGATCATAATTTAGAACAATTTAGAGAGCCAGAAACTTTTACCTTTTTTTTTTTAGACTAGATTAATCTCTTAGTTTGGTATCTTCAAATTCATATTTGCTCCTAATTAGCAATTTCTCCAAAATCCAACGTATAAACACCGTGCTTGATTTTTCATTCCGCATGCCGACATGATCCAGTTACCAGGCAACTTATGAATGAATAATTTTCAGTTGAGATGTCATTACACCTAAAGCAATGGATTATTTTTCGTGGCTCGGAAGTTTAGTTTTTCAAGTACTTACCAATAAAAGATTAGGAAAAACTGCTTAGGGTTACATTCCAGAGATTTTTTGGAGTAACTTTACTACTTCAATCAAAATCTCCCAACCATACGAGGTTTCTGCGTGACGGACCTATGTACCCTTAAGGAGTGAAAAACTCGTATTCTAGTTCTGAAGCTAATTTGAATAATGTGCTTTTTGCTAACTGAGTGTTGTTCATTGATTATCGAATTCTAGTGTTTTTGCACTGCAACAACCTTTTAATAGAGAAATGGCGAGATTTAAGAAGTGGAGAGATAAAAGAGGAATTTAAATCCAAGATATCTAATTTCAAAAAATTTTAAACTTAATCACCAGGCTAATGCCTTTTCAACCAGATCTTCTCCATCCATCTATCTATTAGATTGATCATTCAAAGGCTGAACCACAACTACATATTAACCAAGCTATGGCTATTAAATGAAATTCAAGTAGGGACTTAAAGGATAAGTTTTAAACTTTGGATATTTAAAATGTGAGATAAATTAAACTTGCGGGACTTATGGTACAAAATAAGTTTAAATCTTCCAAATACAAGAGTTGTATTAAAATAAAAAAGCTAAATCGAATAAGGAAGTTAAATCGTATTAGAATCTAGTTTTAGGATTCTAAAATGATAGGGACAACTTATTTGTCTATAAATACTCACCAAGGTTTACTAATTGACACACTAATTGTAGTAAAACTAATCAACACACAAATTGTTTGGTAAGTTTTTTGAGAAAAATGTTCAGAGAAAAATACCCAAAATTCGTTTGAGAAAATAAGGAAAAACTCGCATATCTTATTTCTTTTATTGGATCGGGTTTTTCATAGTGAAATTCTTAACCAACTTGAAACCTCTATATATATAGTCATTGTTTTGGAAATATATATATATATATATATATATTTAAAGCATTGACTCTTTGGTGTCGAGAGCTGCACTGGACTCCTATCCAGTCACAGACAGAGGATGATGCAGCTGCAGAAGACCAGTTTTTTGACAAGAATTCTTGCTGTCCTGAAGTGATATGGGCTTTCAGGGCTAAAAGAGCAGATTGATCAGTGCCTAAACTTAATCTTTTCATGGCTGTGCAGCCGGTCATCATTAGATGGTGCAGCAAAACAAGTACTGCAAGAGGGTAGAAGTAAAGTTGTTTCTTCATATCGACCTATATGATCAATCAATTGTCCAAATTGGTGATGGACAACAGGAAATTAGACCCCAGCGTGTGGAGCGTATATGTGTTTTAAATGTGGGGATTTTATAGACACCATTATTGTGTGGACAAATCCCAAAAGTGGGTTAAGATTAAATTAGTTGGATTAGAGGTGTTAACAAACTTCAATACTCTAATGTTTAAACGTGTTTGTTTATTTTCATAAGTTTGAAATTTTATTCAAGTTTGACTTGATATTTATTGTGTCAAACTCAAATAAGCTTTTGTCAAATTGAGCATGAGCTTTGTAGTAGTAGATTGAAAATTCCATAGATAAATTTCAAGTTTTATACTATCAATTGAATCAAGCTCAAGATGAGTTGAGTTTGAAAGTTTACTGTATATAACTTGCTTTTCATGCTTGGCTTGATTAGTCATCGAACTTGACTCAAGCCAATTCTTACCAGCAAGACTAGAATCAAATATCTAGTAATTTGATTCATCATTCAATTTGAATTGTGATTAATTAATGTACAAACATTTGACTCATAAGTTACGTTAAAATGGAAAAAAAAAAATACTATATCACCTACGATATTATTAACAGTTGCACTTAAATTGGTTACGTCCAGTTAGGATCAACGGCTTCAAAAGTTATTGATTTTAGTTGTTTGAGATTATATAGAAATTAAACTAATATAAGAAGACATAGAATAAACAGTCAGTGTCGATATTTTTATAGGACAGAAACAGTTATATCGAAATCCATTCCTAATAGTATACTACCGTTTCAATATGATATAATTTTTTTGGGTACATTGGAAGAGATCATCATAACCCCTTAAATTGCAACAGAATGAGTAAATGGAACTCCTAACACAGCAGCTATCAATAGTTCTCTCATCTATGCGAGGATTTCATCAATAATCTGAATACCTGCTGAGCCGTGCATGGACGCTGTGTTTAGCTAACCAATCAGCACACTAATTTCCCTCCCTCCATATGCGGCGCAATTGACACTCCCAATTCCTCTCTGTCAGCTCTCGTGTATGGAGAATGAGATTTTGTCTTTCCTCTTCAATATAATATAATTCAAGGTAAATGATTTGTTCAACCTTATAACATAAATGTTATATTCAATTACCGTTCATACGAGTTCGTATATACTTATTTTGTTGGAGTTACATGACGCTGTTTCAATAGTACATTTTAAATTTGTGTCTTGTTGGCCGTGAACAGTTTAGACTGTTCTTAGTCCAATGTTGTATATGTACATATTGTTTACCTGAGAACCACCAGCGGCTGGTGGTCACCATCAATGCCTTAAGGTTTGGTGAGGTGGGAGGCAAGATTTGCCACAATTAAATGTAGTCTTGCTTAAAAAAATTTCAGGCGGGCGCGCACCCGTTTGGTTCGGTGGTAGTTCAGTCCCCTTCGAGTTATCTCAGGACCTCTTCAGGCCCTTTCCCTCCCCATAGTATAGGAAGTTATCGTATCGACAAAAAAAAAAAAAAAATTTACCTGAAGGTGAGACCATACTTTCGGAAGTCTATTCTGTTGCAACATCTATCAATCTTTTGGAAAGATATGTGTAAATCTTTTAGCATTTATCTATCTCTCCAAGTTATTCCAACGTTGACTTGAAAAAACCATGAACTTCTTTAGCTTTTCTACTGATGTTGATAGAGCAGTTAGTTGGCACGTTTTGCATTGTCATTTTGTCCTAATTTTGGCTATTCATGGTGCTAAGAAATGGAATTTTACTCATATTTGATATTTGTGTGAATTGTAGGTGGTTAGCATTAAAAATGATATCTTGAGATGAATTTTCAGAAGACTTCTCATTTCAGGGCATGGCCACGCCTTAAAAGGTAGACGTTACCGAAAGCCGGACTCCGATCCACGTGAACCGCGAGGAGCACGGGATTAAAACTCCAAAAGGCTAGCTTGAATTGGGCCAGACGTCTGAGAGCTCCTGGCGGCGGCTATATAAAGAAGAAAAAACGAGATTCAGAGGATCACTACTCTTAGCTTTAGTTTTTACCTTTCTGCAAGATTGGTCAGACGCTTCCTTTGCTTTTGTTTTCCTCTTCGGCAGCAATTGCATAGGAGATTAGATAGCTTTAACTTTTCTTATTTTGGCCGAAGGGGTCAGACGCAAAAGACTTTTCTTTCCCTTGCTTTTGGCCTTTACGTTTGACTCTTTCACTTTTGTCTTCGGATCTGTATAATTTGCGTGGACTTTGGCATTGAATTTGGGGATTCAGTACGAACGCCAACGCAGAGATAAGGAAGACTCTTTCCTTTTTCTTTCTTCGCTACTTCACCGTTCCAGATTCTTTGACATTTGCATGGATGAAATTAATTAAATCGCGCGAGATTGATACGATGAGGAGCGGCTAATTTCCTCCTCTACCCAAAGGTTGACGCGAGGGCGCGGTCCATAATATCTGTGAGATCTAATCGAATCTTCATTATTTCTTCCAATTTATTGCTATTCGTGTGTTTCCTGAATTAATTGTTCATGGGTATTTTATTAATTGAATATCAACGGCCGGGTATTTGATTTAATTTAATAGCCTACTGCCACGTTAATTAAATAGAATCCGTAATTGTTCATTTAGTTAACACCTCGTAGCAACCACCATAATTGGTTTTATGATGGGGAAGCGTAAGATCTAGCTTAAATAAACCCTCTTAGCGTGTTTGTTGGTTAGGGTTGGGTTCTTCTAACTTTAATGCAATTGGGTAATTAAATTCCTACGGTCGTACCTAGGGTTGTTATCTAGTTAGGGAAGCAGTTAATGGTCGTACCTTGACTGTCGAAAAAGTAAGGAAGAACTGGTTGTCAGAGCTTGTTGATAACTATAACCAACCTAGTGATGAATGGATGAGATATCTTTGCATCGATGATCATTTGATTGGACCGTGCCTGAGCAGTTAATCCTTTGGGTAGAATTTTATTAATTGCTATTTTTAGTGAATTGTGCTTTGTGAGTTGGTTTTGAATTTAGTTCGCTTTATTTTTATTCTTATTTTTATTTTATTTGTTTGCCTCCCATTGAAAATCCCCCAATTCCATTCTACTAATTTGGAAAGAAATAATTTCCTACCCGCTCCCTGTGGAATCGACCCTACTTGCCATTGTACACAAAAGTAATATTCTTATAGACTAATCTGATATATCGGATCAAGCAAACTCTTCGGGAACAGGGTGAATCAAGTAACCCATTGCACACCTAGGGTCCCTGCTCCAATACTTGGATTTGTTCTATAATTATTTGTGGTAGTAATTAGAACTTTTTAGTAATTATTATTGCACAGGTTCGGCACCTGTCAATTTTTGGCGCCGTTGCCGGGGAGCAGGCATTTGGATTACTTGTTTCTTTTCAAATTCAGTTTTTTTTTTATTTTATTCTTTTTGGTATTTTTGCTAGTTTATACCCCGTTCTTCTCGCACAGGTGAATTGGTATACAATCTTGAGGTTGAGAAGGCAGCGCGTAGGCGGAGGCAAGAGACCAAGAGACAAAAAGGAGGGCACTTATTTGCTGCAAACGAGTCAGTGGAAGACGAAGTAAGCATGGCCAACACCCAAACATTAAGGGAGCTGGCTGCTCCGGAGCTGACTCACCAGCTCTTATGCATCACATTCCCCACTTTGGCTGAGAATACTGCTTTCGAACTGAAGTCGGGGCTGATTAATCTCTTACCTTCTTTCCATGGTCTCTCTGGCGAAGAACCCCACAAACACGTCAAGAAATTCGAGGTGGTTTGCTCTAGTATGAAACCTCCTGGGTCACTGAAGAGCAAATTAGACTGAGAGCCTTCCCTTTTTCCCTCAAGGATGCAGCGAAGGATTGGTTATATTACCTACCCGCAGGTAGTATCACAACATGGGCCCAACTTAAGAAGAAATTTTTGAAAAAAAATTTTCCTGCATCTCGGGCTGCAAGTCTAAGAAAAGAAATATGTAGCATTAAACAGTATCTCGGGGGAGTCCCTATATGATTATTGGGAAAGGTTCAATAAGTTGTGCACTAGATGCCCACAACATCAAATTAGTGAACAACTATTGATCCAATACTTCTATGAGGGACTACAGACGTCCGACAGGAGTATCATTGATGCAGCAAGTGGGGGAGCATTAGCGAATAAAACACCAAGGGAAGCATGGCTACTCATTGAGTCGATGGCAGAAAATTCTCAACAGTTTGGCTTCCGTGAGAGTAACCCTACCCGTAGGGTCAACGAGGTAGAGACGTCGTCCATTCAGCAGCAGATATCGGAGCTGACATCTTTTGTACGACAATTAGCCGTGGGAAACATGCATCAAGCAAAGGCCTGTGGAATCTGCACAAATGTGGGTCACCCCACTGACTCATGCCCTATGTTGCAAGAGGATGGAGCTGAACAAGTGAACATGGCTGGAGGCGTGCCCGCGCCTCAAAAACCGTACGACCCATACTCCAACACGTACAACCCTGGTTGGAGAGATCACCCCAATTTCAGCTATGGTAATAGGCCACAAAATGCATTCCCCAATCGTCCACCAGGATTTCAGCAACCTTGGCAACAGAAGTCCCAACCCTCGTTCTCCAATTCAGGAAGTTCTTTGGAAGAAATTGTCAAGAGTTTGGCCACGACTACCACTCAACTCCAGCAGGAGACTAGAACCCTAGTCACGACTACTGCTCAACTCCAGCAAGAGACTAGGTCCTTGCTCGCAAACACTACTCAGTTTCAACAGGACACCAAAGCAGGCATGAAAGATATGGAGACTCGCATGAGTCAAATGGCAACTGCCATTAATCGCCTGGAATCCCACGTCTATGGGAAATTGCTATCGCAACCTGAGGTAAATCCCAGAAATGTAAGTGCCATGACATTAAGGAGTGGCAAGGAGGTGGAGGGATCTAAGTTGACGATTTCGAAAAGCAAAAGTGAGGAGCAGATAGAAAAGGGAATTGAAGAGGAAGGGTGCATTCGCGAAGAGCCTAAGGTAACATCTATTCCTTCGATCCCTATTAAATCTAATCTAACTCATTTTCCTTGCAGGTTGGAAAAGACAAAGAGGGCAGAAAAGGAAAAAGAAATCCTGGATGCCTTCCGCAAAATTCAAGTAAACATCCCCTTATTGGACGCGATCAAGCAGGTACCCAAGTACGCAAAGTTCTTGAAAGACTTGTGCGTTAACAAAAGAAAGTTAAGGGGTGATGAAAGAGTGATGGTAGGAGAGAATGTATCAGCTGTACTTCAAAGGAAACTCCCACCCAAATGCAGAGATCCAGGTATGTTTACTATCCCCTGTAAGATTGGCCATTCTAATATAAAAAATGCCATGATAGATTTAGGGGCTTCTATTAATGTGATGCCTAAATCAATCTATGATTCCCTAAATTTAGGACCTTTAAAAGAAACGGGGATAATAATTCAATTGGCTGATCGGACATGTGCTTATGCGGATGGAATAGTTGAAGATGTTTTAGTGCAAGTAGATGGATTAATTTTTTCTGCTGATTTTTATGTGCTTTACATGGATGATAGAAGTGCCCCAAATCCATCACCCATTATATTAGGAAGACCATTTTTGAGTACTGCCCAGACTAAAATTGATGTTAGTAAGGGTACTCTCACGATGGAATTTGATGGAGAAATAGTCCATTTTAATATTTTTGATACAATGAAACATCCTGTTAACTCTCATTCTGTGTTTGCTATGTATACCACTGATCCCTCTGTGCAAGAATTCTCTAAGTTTGCTTGTAGGGGTAAATTCAAGGTTGCTGCGAACAAGTCCTATAGGATGAAAGCAATTCATGAGGTGAAAATAAAGAGAAAATTTAGGAAAAATGTTGCACTCAATGGCCACATGGATCCCGGAGGAGGGCCGCCAATTAAAGAAAAATTTAATTACATCCAAACTAAAGAGTGGTGTTATGTCTAGCCAAAGACATTAAAGAAAGGCGCTGCTTGGGAGGCAACCCAAGGCTTCTTTTGTTTTTAGTTTTCTTATGTTTTTGAAATTTTTGTTAAGTGTTAGTGTCATTTAGTGGATTGTTGTTTTGTGACAGGAAGCTGGCAGTTAGACATGCCTACGCTAGGTGGTCATTTCTAAGGAATGAAGTTTTGGAATTGACGGTCAGAAAACTATAGGTTCCAAGGCGTGCCCACGCTTCCAGCCTTTGCGCCAACGACAGTCAAAGATTGACCAGGATCCTCTCTAATCCCACTTTCTACTTTTCTCTTTTCTTGTCCTGTATGGTCATTTCCATTGTCTCAGCGTCTACTTTTCAATTTTCTTTGTTTTATCTTAGTCCAAGGTTTCCCCTTTGTCAACCGCCGCTAGAAACTCTCTCTCTCCTCCTCGCGCCATCCATCGCACGTCGCTGCCTTTCCCACCGTCACTATCTCTCTCATCAGACAGCTTTCTTTGCTCACATTGGATTCCAGCCACCTCACCCTCCTCCGCCTTAGTGTCTCACTGCACCCTATCGGTGGTCAGGGAAGTTTCTCCCTTTTCTCCTTATACTTCATTCATCTTTTCTACATTGAAGACAATGTAGGTATTAGGTGTGGGGGGATGGCTTCCATTATTATCTCCTTTTGCTTTGCTTTTAAAACAAAAAAAAAAAAGAGAAACACAAAAAAAAAATGAAAAAAAAGAGGAGGAAAATGAAGAAAAAAAAAAGAAAGGAAAAAAGTGTAGTTAGTTGAGTTCTTTGCTATGATGAATAACTCAATCAAGGTGCATGGGCATGTGGTTAGATATACTAGCTATGCATTTCGTTTTACCTTGACAGTATTGTTGAATGTTGGATATACTGGACTTGACCCACTTTTGTGACTTTTGGGAGCTTTTGAGCCATGCATGAGCACATTATTCTTGTTTGCTCTATTTTTGTTTGATTGAGTGGGTATCACACATGGTATCGGCATTCTAGAACTTGCTATTTTATACATGTCGAGACCACATTTTGTTGAATTGGATGCATTTGAAATGATAAGGGCATTTAGGATTTAACCTTCTTTAACTTTCTACAAACCATGCCTTCATCTTGTCTCCCCGTAGTGAATCTATTTGAGCTTTTATCCTTCGCTATTGTTTGATTAGCCGTGTTTGATAACCCATGACCTTTTTAGACTTTCTTGTTTAACCTTGTGTCGTCAAGAGATGTCTGAATTTCGTTGTTTGTGCAAGGCAAATGAATCTAAGGTGGCAAGTGTTGTCGGAATAGAAGTTGTATGGTGCTCTGTGCATCTGAGATAAAAAAAAAGGGGGGGAAGAAGTCGACAATGAGCTGGTGGGCAGAAGACTCCAGCCTGCAAGGCGTGCCCACGCCTTGCAAGACATCTGCTCCATAAAAAAAAAAAAAAAGAAGAAAAAAAACTCGTGAGCAGAAGACTCCGGCCTACAAGGCGTGCCCATGCCTTGCGAGCCGCTTGTTCAAAAAAAAAAATAAAAAAAAACAAAAGAAAAAAAAAAAGAGAAAAGGGGAAGAGTTTCGACACTTGCACAGTGGAAATGGCAAATGAAAATGCCTTACTCGTGAAATTTCTCTGATGAAGCGCTGTGGTTATTGGTGAGTTTCGGACATTCTCTTGACACTTTACCCCCTATCTATACCTTCTTAACCCGCCTTTCACCTGAGCCCCATTACAACCCTATTAAAGTCCCTTTGATTCATGTGTTTAGTTCACTTTTGAGTGGTGGAGATGTGATAAATGTGCAAGCCTATGATAATGGCATTCCGTGATGTTGATTTGAGCGTTCCTAGTATTCATATCTCTTCTTTGACTTACAATCTGTCCGGTGTATTCTTATTTTGGCGACATGGTCAGGGATCTGAGGTGCTTGTGTTAGTATAGTTTAATGCATGACCTTTGCTCTCTCGGTTGCACTTCTAAGCTCCGAAATGCTTGAGGGCAAGCATTGTTTAGGTGTGGGGGGATTTGACAGAGCAGTTATTTGGCACGTTTTGCATTGTCATTTTGTCCTAATTTTGGCTATTCATGGTGCTAAGAAATGGAATTTTACTCATATTTGATATTTGTGTGAATTGTATGTGGTTAGCATTAAAAATGATATCTTGAGGTGAATTTCCAGAAGACTTCTCATTTCACGGCATGGCCACGCCTTAAAAGATAGACGTTACCGAAAGCCGGACTCCGGTCCACGTGAACCGCGAGGAGCACGGGATTAAAACTCCAAAAGGCTAGCTTGAATTGGGCCAGACGTCTGAGAGCTCCTGGCGGCGGCTATATAAAGAAGAAAAAGCGAGATTCAGAGGATCACTACTCTTAGCTTTAGTTTTTACCTTTCTGCAAGATTGGTCAGACGCTTCCTTTGCTTTTGTTTTCCTCTTCGGCAGCAATTGCATAGGAGATTAGATAGCTTTAACTTTTCTTATTTTGGCCGAAGGGGTCAGACGCAAAAGACTTTTCTTTCCCTTGCTTTTGGCCTTTACGTTTGACTCTTTCACTTTTGTCTTCGGATCTGTATAATTTGCATGGACTTTGGCATTGAATTTGGGGATTCAGTACGAACGCCAACGCAGAGATAAGGAAGACTCTTTCCTTTTTCTTTCTTCGCTACTTCACCGTTCCAGATTCTTTGACGTTTGCGTGGATGAAATTAATTAAATCGCGCGAGATTGATACGATGAGGAGCGGCTAATTTCCTCCTCTACCCAAAGGTTGACGCGAGGGCGCGGTCCATAATATCTGTGAGATCTAATCGAATCTTCATTATTTCTTCCAATTTATTGCTATTCATGCGTTTCCTGAATTAATTGTTCATGGGTATTTTATTAATTGAATATCAACGGCCGGGTATTTGATTTAATTTAATAGCTTACTGCCACGTTAATTAAATAGAATCCATAATTGTTCATTTAGTTAACACCTCGTGGCAACCACCATAATTGGCTTTATGATGGGGAAGCGTAAGATCTAACTTAAATAAACCCTCTTAGCGTGTTTGTTGGTTAGGGTTGGGTTCTTCTAACTTTAATGGAATTGGATAATTAAATTCCTACGGTCGTACCTAGGGTTGTTATCTAGTTAGGGAAGCAGTTAATGGTCGTACCTTGACTGTCGAAAAAGTAAGGAAGAACTGGTTGTCAGAGCTTGTTGATAACTATAATCAACCTAGTGATGAATGGATGAGATATCTTTGCATCGATGATTATTTGATTGGACCGTGCTTGAGCAGTTAATCCTTTGGGTAGAATTTTATTAATTGCCATTTTTAGTGAATTGTGCTTTGTGAGTTGGTTTTGAATTTAGTTCGCTTTATTTTTATTCTTATTTTTATTTTATTTGTTTGCCTCCCATTGAAAATCCCCCAATTCCATTCTACTAATTTGGAAAGAAATAATTTCCTACCCGCTCCCTGTGGAATCGACCCTACTTGCCATTGTACACAAAAGTAATATTCTTATAGACTAATCTGATATATCGGATCAAGCAAACTCTTCGGGAACAGGGTGAATCAAGTAACCCATTGCACACCTAGGGTCCCTGCTCCAATACTTGGATTTGTTCTATAATTATTTGTGGTGGTAATTAGAACTTTTTAGTAATTATTATTGCACAGGTTCGGCACCTGTCAGATGTGTTCGTATTTTGCTTCCTATTGTTGACACGGTTTTGTCTCTTTAACTCCAAATAACAATCTGCAAATAATTCATAACATTACTGCAGTCTCTGAAGACAACTAGGGAAGTTTTGCTGGGTGGTAATCGAGTCAAGCAACATTGGGATCCAACTGACTATAATTTCTGCAATGAATAGCTTTGAGAATTGTGCCATTCAGAAAAAGTTGGAGTATTTGTACACACAATAATCTCGTACTAGTCTAAGTCCTGAATTTCTGGACGTCCTAATCACTTTTTTTCTCGCCTTCATTAATTTGATGTGGATCTATTCCGCAAGTTTCCGTTAATAATTCTTACAACATCTGAGATGTCAATTAACAACCGCATGCACCAAGTCTTCAGCGTGCAAAGGACGTTGGAAATTTTGTTAGCCATTCTATATGGACGTTTAATATTTTGACTTTTTCTTCGATAGCCATTAATGGGTCAGAATGTATAAGGCATTTTCAATTGACTTCTATAATTGGCAGAACCAAGACTTTTTCTTTACCTCTCAACATCGCCAACGACAGGACTTCAAGGGACTTTCTAGTTACTAATGTCCTTTTTATTGTAGTGTAAAAGGAAGGATTTGAATCCAATGTCTTTCATTCATATTCCCTTTTTTTTCGTATCACTTAATTCATTTCTGCCTCTCCAATTAGACAATGTCAAGTGCAATTAATTCACTTCAGTAGTTGATCGTACCATGTGCACATAATCAATTTTTGGAGGGGTATTCTATAGTGGTGGAGCCAAAGATTTTCATGATCAATGAGACACAAATTTGTGACATCCTATCATTTTATTTATATCCTTTTCGTTTTGAGATTCTAAGAAATTACAAGGTGATTATATCCTTTTCTTTTAGACTCACTCAGGTGTACATACTTGAGATTTTAAAAAATCGCAACGGTATTTTTAGGATGGACATATCTGAAACTTAGAGATAAAAGTAGATTGGGAGACTGATTTATATTCGAATACAATCAAGTGCCTTTTTTTTATTTCGTTTTTTCAACTCTGCAGTCAGCAGGAGAAGGGATGGATTGGGCACTGAGGGAATGTAAATAAGAGGTTTCAAGTTTGAAACACCCACCTACACTAAGAAAATAAAAATAATAAAAAAATCCTCTACGATTAGCCATATGCCTCCAACACTTAATGTACAATTTTACAATTAAAATAATTGTTACTTGAAGTACGAAAATTATACGTAAACAAATCCAAATACATGCACATTCGAATTAAAATGAGCATGCGCATTATTAAATCCTTGAACTATACCTGCACACCATAGTAATCCAAAGTTAATTACGTCCAATTTTATTGAGATAAGAAAAATAACAACAAAAACTACATACGTTTTTTAATGTATAGTTCTATTGTAGATTACATATGCTAACACGTATAACGTAACTACTATGATTAGCAAGATCTATGATTCAATT